ATAAGTTAAATGCTTTCTTACTTCACGAGGGAAGAACCAGGGCAGAGTAACGGTCTGAACAAAGCCAAGCCAAACTCCAACGGTGTAAATAAATCAGTGTCCAATGTCTGCGATCCACTCCCAAGCTCCCGAGCTCCTCTAAAGAAATTTCCACAGCACACAGTCTCCTGAACTCAGGCACACATTCCGTAGCTGCTGCTGTCCTTGGTATGATACTCTTGTCTCCAAATTTTGGGGGTCTCCCGCTGAAACTGGGCTGCACTTTCATCGGTAGCTTCCCTGGGGCTCTCTTCATGGGCTCCAGCCCTGCCTCACAATGCCAAGCCTCAGCTGCTCTCCGTGACGCCTTCGTGCCTTCAAAATTGGTACCACCTGGGTGAATCCTACCCTACCAAGTTCAGCTGCCAGCACGAAGTACAACCTGGCTGCCACAGGAACACAGAGATGGATACTAATGATGCTGGTATCTTCTTAATCATCACTGATTTCTCAGCTCCAGCTGACCAGCCTCCACTGTGCAAATCAAACAACAGTTTTACCTCAGAGATGCTGGTCTCTCACAATCACAGCTGATTCTTCAGCCTCAGCTTACCAGAACCACAGATTCTTCATTGAAAAGAACAATGGCCCTGGCAGCCTTTAAACTTCTCTTTGGACTTTTTGTAAGCCAGGCCTCCCCATCTTCGGCACTGCTCCTAGCGTTATGGTCCAAGATCCAACGGAACAGCCTACTGAGCTCTCAAAACTCCTCTGAGAATGGCTTCTCTAGCCCAAAGTTCCAAAGTCCTCCTACTCCCCCCCCACCAAAAAAAAAAAAAAAACCCAAGCACAACATGGTCATGTCTTTCACAGCAATTACCCTACAATCCTGGTGCCAATGTCTGTCTTGGTCAGGGTTACTATTGCTGGCATGAAACACCATGAGCAAAAGCAACTTGGGAAAGAAAGGTTCTACTTCACTTAGACTTCCAGATAACAACAGTCCATCACTGGGTGGGGGCAGGCAGGAACTCAAGCGGGGCAGGAACCCGGAGCCAAAAGCTGAATCGAAGGTTACGGAGGAGAGCTGCTTACTGACTTGTTCAGCTTGTCTTCTGATAAAATCAAAGACCAAGAGACCAGGAGTGGCCACGCCCACAATGAGCTAAGCCCTCCCACATCAATCAGTAATTAAATCAGTTGCATCTTATGGAGGCATTTTCTCAGTTGAGGTTCCCTCCTCTTAGATGACACTAGTTTGTGTCACGTTGACATAAAAACAAGCTAGGACACCAAGAAATGCCAAGAAGTGTAAGACACTTCCAAAAACTAGCAAGAGGCTGTAGGGTTCTTCCAAGAGTCTCTGAGAAAGCAAGGGCCTAATGACATCTTGATTTTAGTTATTTTTTTGACCTCCAGAACTGTAAGAGAATAGATATCCATTGCTTTAAGACACCTTATTCCTAGTGTAGGTTGGATATCCCTAATCTGAAAAAAAAAAAAGCTTTCAAATCCAAAACACTGTGAGTACTGACATGATCCCACAAGTGGGAAATGCCACACCCAACCTCATGTGACATTGCCGAAACAGAATGTTGTCTAAAATATTGTCTAAAACCACCTTCGGATTATGTATGTACACACAACATAAGTGAGATTTTTGCTTAGACCCCAGCACCACATCCAAGAAATTTGATGATGCTTATGCAAACATTCCAAAAATCTGGGAAGAAAAACGCTGGCTTTAAATACTTCTGTTCCCAAGATTTTTTGAGAGGGATTGTCATCTTGTCCTTTGTCACAGCAGCTCTAAGAAGCCAATATGTTCTAGTTAATGAGACCCACGACATCCATCAGTTCCTGAAATTCCATCTTCACCTGTCATTATTCTCTGTCCCCTTCCTTTGATCATGAAGACCAGGAAGAACGGAGCTTACAGCCTCACTCACGGAAAATCGCCCTCCTTCTGGACTTTGTATGTGCGCTCTCTCTCTCTCTCTCTCTCTCTCTCTCTCTCTCTCTCTCTCCCTCAGACTAACATCTTCTCTGTACTTAAGTATGGAAGATAGTTTTATCTGTCAAACACATAGACCAAGATCCTAAATATGTTGAAATATCTTTTAATTGCATTTGTAATTAAAGATGTATTTTATGATTGTTTATTTAGTTCTATACAGGTCTCCAACCTACTGCCTTCTTCCAAGGAGCAAACTGACACAGGAAAGTGATATACTTGTCCTTGCTAGAGTGCATGGTCCCTGCAAGCAGTGGCTCACTAGCTGGGGCCTTTGGCAGACTTAGTCATCGTTTTCACGCAATGGGTCAACCATGTGCTCTTCCAGCTCCTTCTCATGAAGAGAAATAACATGATTTCTCACGATGCGATCACTTTAGAATTGGGCAAGGCCAATGTCACTGGTTAGGACAGATGTCTGCCTCGTGGGTGCCTCTTTCTCTGCGGCTCGCTCCCAAATGCGATCACAAAAATGACAGTCTCAGAGACTATTAGAGTCATCACCTGTGCCTGTAGTTGGTGCTGGGGGATGGAACAGACATAGCAATCCCGACCTGTCAATCAGAAAGAAGCACCGGAAGAATTTCTTGTATATTTGTTGTCATTGGTTGTTTCTGCTCCCTCCCCTGTGCCCACCAAAGGATTCAAAAGAAGCAAAGAAACAAAAATCCTTGATAGAGATTATCATTAGAGAACAGTAAATTCAGTTTTCAATAGGTATGTTCAAATTTTGCCCACGACTCATACATCATATATATCTACATATGTATATATCCTACATATATCATAAATGTATCTATCATACATGTATATCTAAGTTTAAAGGCAAAACTCCCAGTTTACCCATTCTTAACTCCTGAAAACTTGACCTGTATCCCACTTTTCCTGAATATTTCATAATATTTATTGTTTGCATGAATTGCAGTTTGCTTAAATGGAAGCTAGTTCATTTAGACAGACATTCATTGTACTTCACATACACTGATCCAGGTTAGCTAACGTCACCACTTGAGCCTCTCCAACCGCCATCACAGGTGTCACAAAGCAAACGGACTATTTCCAGTTCTTTTGTCTGGCCTTCTCCTGCCCTATGCAAAAATGGTACCGAATACTGCACGCCCACCATTTAGCAGTCAGACACAAGGGCCTGGCCTGCCAGGAACGCTTTAATACCGTCCTGTGCAGACAGAGCTCACGCCAGCGTTTCTCTGGCCCCCTCTCCCAGATGCTTTGCTCACAGGTGACTAAGCAAGGCTCTGTCCTCAAGGAGCCTCCTGCACAGCATCACGGGCTACCACCATCTTGATCTGCTGCAAACTAGAGTCTGGTGGTTTCTAGAAGGTGACTGCGGTCTCAGAGGATGGAAAGGAGTGAGTCAGGATCGAAGCCCGGTTGAGCTGGCTCCAGCGTGAGGTTGCATAACCGCAAAGGCTGCTTTTTCAAGCAAATCTAAACCCATCTGAGGCAGTGGCTGGAGAAAGTTAAGAGTCACACTTTGGTTCTCAACCTGTGGGTCAGCACCCTTTCCCAAGAGCCGCCTAACGATCATCAGAAGCCTCGGGCATTTACAGTACAGTTAGTAACTGGTGGAATTGCAGTTATGAAGCAGCAATGACAATTTTGTTGTTGGGAGTCACCACAAATGTGAGGAACTGTATTAAAGGATCTCAGCGTTAGGAAGGCTGGGTTAGCAGGATGTCACCACATGAAAGACATATGATGCAAGCAGCAACAATTAAATAAATAATTGAGCAAATAAAATAATTAGCAGCAATATGTATATACGTCATCTTTATATAAAAACCATATGCACACATACACGTGAACATATATGTAACAATAAAGTCTGACCCTGTGGTCAGATGTCTACACAACCAGATGGACCTAGGGCAGGTACTTATCTTAAAAACCTTTTTAAAAGATGATGCAGTACCAGGCAGTGGTGGTGCACACCTTTAATCCCAGCACTCAGGAGGCAGAGGCAGGCGGATCTCTGTGAGTTCGAGGCCAGCCTGGTCTACAAGAGCCAGTTCCAGGGCAGGCGCCAAAACTACAAAGAAACCATGGCTCGAAAAACCAGAGAGAGAGAGAGAGAGAGAGAGAGAGAGAGAGAGAGAGAGAGAGAGAGAGAGAGAGAGAGAGAGAGATGCAGTGGTTGGTGAAATAGCTCATGGAGTAAAAATACACGCCTCCGAGTCTGACAACGCGAATTCAATCCCTGCAAGTCACACAGTGCAGAGGGAACCCACTCCTGAAGGTTTTCTTTTGATCTCCACATCTGCTGTAGCGTGCGTGCGCACACCCAAACATACACACTCACACACATAATAAATGTAATTCAAAGAATTAAGTGATGCAAAGCCCTCTTATGTGGTACAAAAATGTAGGTTTTTTTTTTCTTCACCCATCCTCCCATTTATACGAGAAATATAACTGCGGTGTGGTTTTGAAATTTTTTCTTTAGCTTAGGTTTTTTTTTTTTTTTTTTTCGGTTTAGCGCAGAATTTTGTTGTTAAAGACCTTGCAGGATTTTTAGTTCAGGTTGGTATACAAGAAACAAAAACAAACCAAACGAAGCAGGACTGCAAGCGGGAAGGAGGACAAGGAGTTTTTCTACAAGAATCGCTTTGCTTAAGTAGCAGAAGTACGGGGCGCGCCGAAGGAAGGTGGCAGCGATCCACCGTCACCAGAAGGACACGTTGACACAGGGGGATGGACCAGCCGCTGGCTGGGGAATGATGGGTTTGATCGCCTAGGGTTTTCTGGTAAGGCTAGAGAAGTCCTGAGGGTCAAAGGTAACCACCACCTCCCCAGAGGGTTCTCCAGGGGGGTGGGGTGGAAGAAAGTGGACCAGGAGGACCAGGAGGGGCCAGGTGCACGGAATGGTGACCTCGCCAGGGCCGATTCCTTAGGCCAAAAGTTTGAAAAGTTGCTACGGGAATCTCGGGGACTCTGGGTCCTGAGCGAAGCGGGCAGAAGCCGGATGCTTCCCGGCCCAGTCACTTACCATCTTGCAGTGCTTCGTGTACCAACAGAAGTCCCAGCAGCAGCCAAACCTTCATCTTCAGGGCTGGTGACCTGCAGAGTAGTCGGGGACTGTGGGCGGCGCGGCTGGCTGCTCAGGGCAGGGCAGAGCAGGGGCGCCGAGGGAGGCGGCGCCGGGACACAGCAGCTGGAGGATTCAGTTTCATCAGGGGGAGCACAGCTTGGGAGAAAAGAAGGAGATTTTTTAAAAAAAGAAAAAAAGGAAAAAAAAAATCCCCCCATAATATGATCTCTCCTGCCCCCTGGCGGAGTCGTGGAGGATAGCGCTATTTCCAAGCACTGAGGAGACTGCATGGATGTAGTGTCTTGATTTTCTCCAGAGTTGAGGTGTTTTGACTTAACTTTACCCTGTTCAGGAAGGCCTAAGCAGACCCCTGCTGATGGAAACACAGAACTCTTCTCAGCAAAGAGCGTGCACTAAGTTTCTATTAGTCCCCAGTGGTTCTCTCTCTCTCTCTCTCTCTCTCTCTCTCTCTCTCTCTCTCTCTCTCTCTCTCACACACACACACACACACACACACACACACTAGACCCTTGTTGCACTCAAAAATATAGTTTGTTGTGGTTGCTCTTTTAGGTCTGGTCAGAGATGAGATGGACATTTCGCCTCAGGGGAACCGTCAGAGCGGTGAAGGGGCAGGGTTGTTGGCCCGCCATCAAAAGGGCCGGCTCTTGTCCCTGTGAGGTTGCTTACCTTGTAAGCAGTAGTGTCCTTGCTCTGCACAAGACTATTCATGGGTGTGTAAGAGCGACTGCCCCAATTGTCGGCATCATCCTGTGCTTGAGCACTCCCTGTTCATCCTCTTGTTTCACTCAAAGTTTCCGAGGTTTCGCAGACACTTTCTTTTATTCCGTTGCTTGTGTACATTTTGACAACACTACTATTTATTCCTTTTAGGCAGTTCAAGCAATATTTGAGGAATTTCATTTTTCAATAACTTCCCTTATGGCTTCTCACCAGATTATCAAATATCCATGTATGATTTTCATCTAAAACCTTTATAATTTTACATTTCATCTTTAAAGCTGCCCACAATTAATTTTCTGTGCGACAGTTTAGAGATCTGATTTTCTGTATTTCCAACGAGATGGTAACAACTATATCCCTTGGACCTTTCCTGATCTTTTTCAATTCACGTAGAGATGTTTATGACGAAGGAAGATGGTTCTGTTTCTTTTCTGGTTCAGTCCATTCATCTGTGACTATGGGGATCGCACATTACTTTTATAATTCATATATAACTTATTTTGTTCCTCCCATGGATGCGGGCTGCCTCCCATAATTGTTCCTCTGCTGATTACCTATGTCCATTTTCTCTTCCAGGTAAATTTGGAATCAGCTTGTCAGTCACCATACAAATGTCACTGTATTTTAATTATGAATGTGCTAAACTAAACAGGAGGAAAATGAGCCTATGTAAAACACCGAGTCTTCCCACCCAGAGACATCACACTGTAATGCGTCTTTCCCCTTATTTGGGTCCTCTTTTACACCCCCGTTACATTTTCTGATTGGTTAAGGCTGGTACTTGAAAAATCATTTTGGAATTCTGAGTTCCTGAGTTATTTTACACCTTAGCTAAATTTGGACTGGCTAAATATGCTGTGTTAGTGTGTGTTTTAGACAATGTATAAGTGTTGAAATAAGGAGCGGCGGCGGGGCTGCGTCCCCAACACCCCGGCCGCTTGGCTAGCTTATGCCCGAAATAACAACACACAAACTGTATTCATTTAAAGAACTGCTTGACCCATGAACTCTAGCCCTTACAGGCTAATTCTCGCACCTGGTCTAGCCCATTTCTAATGATGTTTGTAAGCACCCCAAGGTGCGCTTACCGGAAAGATTCTAGCCTAAGTCCATCGTGGGTTGCAGCTGCCTGGGAGAGCTGAGCATGGCGTCTCTGCTCCAGCAGAGCTGTCGGGTCTCTCTGGGAGCAGAGCAGAGTCTGACCTCACTTCCTCTTCCGCCCAGAATTCTATTCTGTTTACTCCTCCCATCTATGTTCCAGCCATGAGGCCAAGCAGCTGGTTTATTATAACTTAACCAATGAAATCAACAGATTGATATATGACACTCCCACATCATATAAGGGCACAAAGGCATATAATTTTTTTTTTTGAGACAGGGTTTCTCCGTAGTTTTTGGTTCCTGTCCTAGAACTAGCTCTTGTAGACCAGGCTGGCCTCCAACTCACAGAGATCTGCCTGCCTCTGCCTCCCGAGTGCTGGGATTAAAGGCGTGCGCCACCACCGCCCGGCTGACATATAAATTCTTATCTGGGTGGATAGTTATATGATTTTCCCCCATGTAAGTCTGACATGTTGTTAGGCTTATTTCTTATTTCTGCTTGTTTGTTTTGTTATTGTCAATACAATTTCTCTCATCACACTTTCAAATGGTTTAACACACGATTGGAACTCTATTTTTTGAAGCCTGTTCTAGTTCACATGCACTTGAATTAAATTTAGATATTTAAACTCAGCTTAGTCTGGAATATGGGCTGGATTGGGTCCTTCCCAAAATTTGTGCTTTGAAAACCACTCAAACCTCAGAATGTGGTTGCGTTTGAATAGGGGGTCTTGAAAGAGGGAGTGAAATGAAACTGAAGGCATTGGGTTTGGCCTCCATCCTGTCCTTTTGGTAAGAACATGAGAAGAATAAGTTTGGGTTCTAACACAGATGTATGGGGATGAGCACGTGAAGACAGAGGGAGAGAACGGGCACCTGAGAGTCAAAGATGGGCCTCAGAGGAAACCAAGTATGCGGATGCCTTGGACTTGGACATCCATGATCCAGAACCAGGAGAAAATAGATTTCTGCTGTATAAGCCACCTGGTCTGTGGTGTTTTGCTGGGGCAGTGCTAGGAAATGGGGGTGTGTGTTGGGATGGGACCAGGGTTACAAAAAGTAAAAGCTTTTAAAAGCACATAGCTGCCTAACCACAAGGCTTACTAACCTTGAACGAGATGATCTCAACATGGTTTTGAACCTGGAAAGGGAAACCACCCCAGTTGTATTGTCCGTGGATCTTATCTCACCATCAAAAGCCCAGGTGTTTTGTCTCCAGACTGAGTGGGAATTTTTTTTAAAATAAATATTTTTAAAAAATAATAATTTTTTATTATTAGCTTCTCTATGTTGATCCTTTCCATTATCTTTTTTCAATACTTGCTGTAATGTTAGCCAATGAAGGTACATATTTTCCCGTGGCCCAAAGTCAAACACAGCTTGAAGCTTGGTTTCCTAAGAGCTGATTAATGTTCTATCTGTTTATATTATGTTGACTCACATAAATGAATTTATTATCCTAGTTTTCAAATTCTTGGACTTTAGGCAAGTGATTCCATGAACAACGACAGCCACTTTTTCTTTATTGATTATTACCTGCCTGCTACCTCTACCTCACACTTGCTTCCCTACTGATACCCCAAGTCCATGAGACGAATATCCAAGGGACCACACCTCACAACTCTCAGGATCCAGCTCCTTTCTTATGTGTGCACAGAAGGAGGTGAGATACACAGAAGCGTCTTGTGGAAACTGTCCAGGGAGCCACTGTCAGGCTTCAGGAGACATGCTCTTCCCCCAGTGCCTGAATGGCTCTTCTTTCTCAGAAGAGCAGGCGTACAACAGTTTCTTGCATGGGCTTAACACATGGAAAGCTAGAGAGGAAAGAGAAGGGGGAAAGGAATAAGCAGATGCTAGGATCAGTACGGGGAAGAACTGGGTGTGGAGGGAGCTCTAAGTGTAAATTAAGTCTAGAAAGCCTATTCCTCCAAAAACCCCTCAGAGTACATTGGTAGAAACTCTGTATCCAGAGGGTACATTGGTAGAAACTGTATCCAATAGATACATTGGTAGAAACTATGTATCCAGTGGGTATATTGGTAGAAACTGTGTATCCAATAGATACATTGTTAGAAACTGTGTATCCAATAGATACATTGTTAGAAACTGTGTATCCAGTGGAGGAATACAGACTTATCAGCCGTCTTAGGTTATCCAAGATCATAGTGAAATTTCTGTCCTGCCCTTATAATGCTTTTCTCATCTATGGGTTATTTGCTACATAGTATTTTAATTATACATCTTAATGTTTTCAATAACTAAATCTCTCACTGCTCTTTTTAGCCTTATTTACGTAAAAAAATCCCTTCAAAGTAGCACCATGCTATTAAGAATTTGCTTAGGCAAACAAACAAGCAATTTTTTTGGTCTAAATTTTGGGACTCCCTACCCTGTTCCAGAAATAAAGATATTTAAGTTTTCTAAACAGCCTCCCATCTAATCAAGATGGATGCTTTCAAAAATTACAAAATTATTTTTTTTAAGCCAGACACTTTTTGTTTGAGGTTTCTCTCTACATTGCCCTTGCTGTCCTTGATCTTGCTACATAGAGGCCTCAAACTCATAAAGATCCACCTGCCTCTGCCTTCCAAGCCCTGGATATAGAGGGATGTGCCACCAGGCCTGGAAAACAGACATTTTTGACATTCTCAAAGCCAGTCATCAAAGGTAACATAGGCTAAGGCAAGGATCCAAGTTACATCATTTCTCTCTCCTCACCTTATTTTTTTTTCCTCACCTTATTTTTGAGGGAGTCTTTCATTTAACCCCAAGATTGCCTTTTAGGTTAGATTAGTAACTTCCCAGGATCTGCTTACCTCCACCCAGAATACTGCCTCCAGCTCTGGCATTACAGGTACATGTGACCATGTATAATACTTACATAGGTGCTGGGAATTTGAATGCAGCCCCTCTTGCTTCCACAGAGGTGTTCTCCCCACCCCCCAGCTATCTCTACATCCCCTTATCAAGCATTTTGCTATGACGTGATGGATGATAAGGAGCTTCCTGAAGATCAATGTCAAAGGGACAGGTCCGTGGACTATCAGTTGAAGAGGGAATCTCAGGCATGGGATCTTGGAGTGGCATGCTTCAAAACCAGCTGATTATTTTCATGATGTATCATGAGGACTAAAGTTTTGTGGCTGTTTCTTTCCTCGTATACGACCTGGTAGTCAAAGTGACGGCTCTCCAAGTATAATAAAATAATAATGAAGAAGATTACATTGTATTGTGTTTCTGAGCTTTAAAGGTCCTTAAATTCAGAAACCAAAGACAAAACATAAGCTTCCAAATTTTAAGTGAGTCTGAAATGTGTGCTTTTATGTTGTGTGATATACACGCATGCTAAATTATTATAAGTCATATTAAGGTTTATTTAAAAACACATGGTTACATTATAAAGCATAACATTATAACAGCTGAAGCAGCAATAGTTTTATTACAAATTCTAAAAAAAGGAGTTCAACTTTATATGTAGAAAGAAACACCAATTACGATTAAAAACATCAAAATTATTTCATGAACAAAACGTTTTTACATTTGCACAAGTGCTTACAATAGGGTACTTGTAAGACACAGAAGTTCTGGATTGTTTTAGGCCTTCTTGCACAACTTCTATTAAATATAACGATAACAAAATAAAGCAATAAAACAATTTGACACTGCTAGTGGACATGAAAAACGTGGGGCTCATCAGCGAGGTGTGGACACAGCAGGCCACCCTGCTGGCAGTACAAAGCTTTTTACCAACAGGCTCTTGACCATGCAGGAAATACAGCAGGCCAGGCCCTACCATGCCAGTTCCAAGACACAGCCACACCCCTCCACGAGCCACAGATATTCCTTGGTCCTTATTCCCCTAAACAGACTGATGAGATACCTAGAACTGAAGTTAAGGATTCCACATGACCGTAATTCATTAGAAGTTCTTTACTTCCTACTCTACCTCACTATCTTAGACACCTCCAGAATGTAAGCACAGACACCCCCGTACAGCAGGCTGCCTGGTCTGGAAATCTCTATGGGGCCGTCAGGGGTCAGAAAGGCTGCTTAGAGCCCAGAGATTGTGGCAGCGGCTTCAGGACGTGGGTAAGGACAGACAAGTAGAGAACTCCTGGCCAGCAGTGTTAAAATAGGGTTATGCTATAACAGAATACATTTGAAACCAATAAGAAGAAAACTGTGTAAATATAAACAATCATGAATTCTACAAAAGCCAACACCTAAACCAGTAATATAACAGTAGTATCAGACCTCTCAAAACCCACAAAGCTATTTTAAATTCTTTGAATACAAGTATTTAAGGAAAAAACCCACCTCAGCAAAACAGTGAAGTCTAGCAACCTTATCTTCACATCTAGAGCTAAGATGACCTTTGCTGGCATTATTTACTATATAAATTTCAGTACTTTTCCTTGATATATAAAGTAGAACATGTACAGAGAAGGCACTGTTTTGGAACTAGCAAAACAAAACAAAACAACAACAACAAAAAACCAGATAACGGCACCCCTGCCACCAACCCCTACACACTATGTGAATATGAATTATCCATTCACAACGCTCGAAACCAATCTTCTAAAGTGCTGTGGAAACTGTATCTTAGGGACTATCGTCTTCTAAAGTGCTGTGGAAACTGTATCTTAGGGACTATCACTTGAAGGGTATCTGGAGAAATACCAAGTAGTGCTGCAAAGAAGCAGGAGCTGGGATTTTAGTGCAACGTCATCATCTGGGTGGCAATTTGGGGATACACTCTGATTTTCTCTCTTTACATTGCCACCATATGTGTGTGAATGTACGCAGGCATGTGTGCGTGCACACACCCTGCTATACTATATGATGGGAGAAGGTAAGGTGCAGTTATTCCTTCTGTCTCCTTAGCACTGTAGGGCAATCACTCTCCTTCACCTCTGTTAAACGGTCAAACAAACTTAGAAAATGATCTAGCAACAATTCTGAATCACAGTGTTTTATTAGAAAACATCCAGGATGTGGGAAAAATTTGGTTAAAAGAAAAGCTTTATAAAAATTAAAATTACCTAACCTTTTATTCTTTAGGAAGACTATTCAGATGCTGGTGTTCTTTTTTAAATCAGTTACAGTTAGCTCAAGTTAACAAACCAACAGCAGTTTCGATGTTAACTTTACATATTAATATTGATACATACATATATAATATTTTGGTTAGTTTTCTTGACTTGTTTCACTAAGGAAACAAGATTGAGATATTTTAGTATATCTCATAGATTCTAGT